CCCTAATAACCCCTAATGACCCTAATAACCCATAATAACCCCTAATAACCCCTAATGACCCTAATAACCCATAATAACCCCTAATAACCCCTAATGACCCCTAACTGTGTGGCCCACGCTGGATCAAATTAGCCAGTTTTGACCAAAGGTCAAAAGGTTTCAATCCATTCTCTAACCAAATGAAGCTTTTCAGTCAAAATTAGCTAAAAAAATTCTAACATTAGCTTAAATGCTGTCATTGTCACGTTGGCTCAGGCTGCCATGTTGGTTTACATTAGCTAGAGGTTTGGTGAATAAAGCATAGCTAGAAAGTTTTAGCCACGTTAGCTAAAAAGCTATCGTCATTGGGGCTGTTAGCATGTTGGTTCACATGCAGTGAGTTAAGTTTGGTTTTAAGATAAATTATCTGAAAGCCCAGTGTTAGCCACCATGCTATCATGTCATGCTAGCTACATTAGCTTGTTGGTTGACTTCAATTTTGTGTGTGTGTGTGTGTGTGTGTGTGTGTGTCTTACGGAGCCGTGGCTCGTAGATTTTTGTCCGGATGTATTCTGGTGTCAGTGAGAGTTCCTGCTCCAATCGGACCACTTCCTTCTTTTCGGTCACCATGGCAACAGCTGAGCTGAGAAGGTCTTTGAAGCTCTGCTCGATGTGGTCCAGAACCAGAATCCGGGTCCTGGTCAATCAGACAGGCAGGGTGAGACAGCATGTCCCTGTGAGGACATGAGTGGACGGACGGACGTCCACCTGGTCAGGGTGTGGCTGAGGAGCTCCACAGGAAACTGGGTCAGGTATGTTTCCTGGATGAAGTCAGGCAGGTCGGGGGCGGGGCTTCTGAAGGCGGGGCCGGAGTAGACCACGCCCCCTGACGATGTAAAGGTGGTGTTGCTGTTGTAGAGTTGGTTCAGCGAGGACGCCGCCTGCACACACACACACACACACACACACACACACACACACACACACACACACAGCTTACAGGTGCATCAGAGTCGCTGATGTCACTGGGCTGAGCAGCCAATCAGCTTCACCTCGGTCAGGAGCTTGAGGGCGCTGAAGGAGTAACCGGCTTCTCTGCTGATGGAGTCGCTTCTCGGGTGGAACATCTCTGAGTGGGAGGAAGATTCTGGAAAGACGGAGACGAGGTGAGGCCGGAACGGACCAGTCAAAGTCAGAACCGGCACAGTGAGACTGACCCAGGTCCGAGCCGGTTCTGTTGGACGACACCGAGACGTTGTGCAAGTCCGCTAGACTCTGAGGAGGAGACGGCCAAGAGAGACGTCAGAGAGAGAGACCGGCCCGATGTCCATGCCTGTACGTTTCCATGGTTACCGGTCTGTTTGGATGGCTGAGTTTGAAGAAGGAGCTGACGGCGTTACTGTAGGAGTAAAGCTCCTCCATGAGGACGGCAGGGAGCTGGTCCAGGACGTCCCACTGCTGGGACAGACACGGCCTGATGCTGGACGGGGACGGACAGGGACAATCAGACACCTGGACGTCCTCACTACACTGCAGCTGCTGTCCCACCCGTCCTGGATGTCCCACCTGTCCTAGATGTCCCACCTGTCCTACCTGTCCTGGATGTCCCACCTGTCCCACCCGTCCTCGATGTCCCACCTGTCCTACCCGTCCTGGATGTCCCACCCGTCCCACCTGTCCTGGATGTCCCACCTGTCCTGGATGTCTCACCTGTCCCACCCGTCCCACCTGTCCTGGATGTCCCACCCATCCCACCTGTCCTACCCGTCCCACCTGTCCTACCTGTCCCACCCGTCCTACCTGTCCTGGATGTCCTTCAGCTGCTCCAGAACTTGCTCCAGACACATGTCCAGAAATTCCTCCCTGCTCTCCTGACGCAGCGCCACCAACATGCTCTCCAAAGGCACCATCATCCTCTGGGAAACAGCAAAGCATCATGGGAGGATACCCACAACCCCTGCCCCTCAGGTTGGGGGTCAGAGGTCAGAGGACTCACCTCCACCAGCTGCTTCTGCGTCTTCTTCAACAGCTGCAGCTTTGCCTCCAGCTCTTCTTCTCTCCTCTTCAACCGGCGGCAGTGCGTCTCCCATAGCAACGCGACGGCGCGCATCACCTCAGACACCGACCTGCTGACCCCCAGGACATGTTGGTCCACGCAGTCACTGCACTCCTGAGGACAGGGGACAGTCAGAGGACAGGTGGACAGACAGGGGACAGACAGCGGGAAGCTTTGTGTGACCGACGTCTAAACCAGCCAATCGCTCTTCGTCGTCTCTCTGGCGTTGTCCAATCAGAGGGAGGAGCCGAGAGGACGTGATGTCCTCCAGCTGCTGGTCAGACAGCTGCAGCGCCGCCAGCGCCTCCTGCAGGAAGACGGCTTTAACTGAATCTGGTTTCTGACAGCAGGAACTTCTGGAAGGTTCTGTTAGAGTTCTGGTTCTGGTCGGTCAGATCTCACCTGGCAGCGCTGAGCCTCGGCCCGGCGACGCTGCCAGGCGTCTTCATAGAACCTCTGCAGCTGCTCCCGCATGTCGGCATGGAGACCAGCTGGAGGACAGACAGGAGGACAGAGAGGAGGACAGACGTGAGGACAGACATGAGGACAGACAGAAGGACAGACATGAGGACAGACAGGAGGACAGACAGGAGGACAGACATGAGGACAGACAGGAGGACAGACGTGAGGACAGACAGGAGGACAGACGTGAGGACAGACAGGAGGACAGACATGAGGACAGATAGGAGGACAGACATGAGGACAGACATGAGGACAGACAGGAGGACAGACGTGAGGACAGACAGGAGGACAGATAGGAGGACAGACAGGAGGACAGACGTGAGGACAGACAGGAGGACAGACATGAGGACAGACGTGAGGACAGATAGGAGGACAGACATGAGGACAGACATGAGGACAGACAGGAGGACAGACGTGAGGACAGACAGGAGGACAGATAGGAGGACAGACAGGAGGACAGACATGAGGACAGACATGAGGACAGACAGGAGGACAGACATGAGGACGTGTCTCCAACCCACCAATCTGCTGGTTGACGGCCATCAACTCGTTGAACCAATTAGAAACCAGAGCTGAGGAGCCGGTGGGCGGGACCAGAGAGCTGGAGCACAGAGTGATGGAAGGTGATTGGTGGAGAGAGCAGGGGGCGGAGCCTGTGCTCAGAGACAGGAAGCAGCTTGGTACCAGATCTTGTAGATGACCTCGGAGCGCTGCTGGACCAGAACCTCCTGGTTCTGTAGCATCTGATCCGAGAACAGGTTCCGCTCCTCCTCCCTGCTGCTGCACATGGTTCTGGAACAGAGACGGGCTGAACCAGAACCAGAGGCAGAACCAGGAGTACAAATGGTTCTGACCAAATCTGCTTCAGATCAGAACCAGAACCAGGACAACAATTAGTTCTGACTGCAGTGGGAACAGAACCCAGACCGGTTCTGACCAGTGGATCTGCTTATCATCTGTTAACCCAGTTAAATCTCTGCAGCAGCTGGTTCTGATCATCTCTGGACCTGCCGGGCTTTCGGACCTCCCCTACCTCAGCTCCTCCAGCATCTCCTCCACTCGGCCTTTCCTCCAGCGGTCCAGACTCTCCTCCCAGTGCAGACGGAGGACGAACTCCTGCTGGAGGTTCTGGTCCTGCAGCAGCAGAACCAGCCGGGCCGAGCTGCGCCGGTTGGCCAGCAGAGACTGGTTCAGCATCTGGAGGAGGAAGAGGAGGAGGAGCGTAATGATGAAGTCAGAGGGGACGTGTGGGGACATGCAGACGGTACCATGGCCTTGGAGTGGATCAGTCGGTGGACGTCGGGTGGAGACAGGAAACTGATCTGCTGCAGGAGGTGGAGCTGCTTCTTCAGAATCTTTTTGATCTGAAGATGGAGTAGAGACAGAAGAAGAAGAATCACCATCATCATCATCATCAGCAGCACCAAACAACCACCTGATGCTCTGACTGAAGGTCCAGTCAGGAATGTCCTGACTGGTTTCAGGTGGACATTCATTCCTCTTGGTGGAGGTGGAGGCGCTCCACCCAGAGGGTTCCAGCTGCAGCTGCACAACTACAAAACACGACCCATGGACCGGGCTGGGGGACGTGGACCTGAGGGACAGGGACCGGGCTGGGGGACATGGACCTGAGGGACAGGGACTGGAGGGACGTGGACCGGGCTGAGGGACGTGGACCGGGCTGAGGGACGTGGACCGGGCTGAGGGACAGGGACTGGAGGGACGTGGACTGGGCTGAGGGACGTGAAGCGGTTAGTGTCAGATTGGTACCATTTTGGTTCAGAGGATCTTTTTATTTGTTTCATTTATTTATAAATCAATTATTCTATTTTCTGCTTGTTTATCTGTGTTATTGAATCTCCATTTGATTAATTATCATCCTGATTTATCTATTTTTTAAAGGTTTTGTTGGCTCTAGTGGCCTTTATTAGAAACTAGTTTGACAGGAAAGAGGAGGAAGACATGCAGCAAATGTCGCCAGGCCGGGAATCGAACCTGCGGCCACCGGGACGAGGACCAAGGCCTCAGTAAGTGGGTTGTGTTTTGCCTCTGCGCCACCACAGGACCCCATGATTTCTCTGTTTGTTTCCTGCAGCCTGGTATCACTGGCTCCCCCTTGTGGAGGAGACCTGACCTGCAGGTCACACAGGAACTGTTCATCTGAAAGCGTGAACTCTGACCTCCAGGCTCCTGCCGTCATCACAGCTCTTCAGCTTCTGCTGCATCTCTGAGACCTGGCTCTTCTTCTGCCTCATCTCCTCATCCGCCTCCTCCCAGAGGCTGTGCAGGCACTGACACACCCACACACACCCACACACACACACACACACATTACTAACAATAGTCCAAGCTTTTCCTGAGATTAATCAGCTTCCCTACACAAGAAGCCAGATGATGGACCAGTGGACTAGAAAATCTAACTTGTGAATATTTCAGCTCTGTTTAATGCAGTTGCTCCGCAGGCAGATCGGCTCAAGTGCAAGAAATAAAACTTATTAGTTAAGATCCCTCTACTTTTCTCAATCCAGCTTCCCATGGATTGAGCCTAATGAGACGTCAGCCTAATGATCTGACGTGTCATTAGGCTGTTTGACCAGCAGGGGGCACCAGGTTCCTGTAAGACAGGCTGCAGTGGGGACATGTCCTCGAGGACTGGAGTCCTTCAGTGTGGCTCAGTATTCACACCTCCAGACTGACAGGCTTCTGTCCAATCCTGTCCCTCAGGATGTCCAATCTGAGGTCCACCTCCCCCAGAGAGGACACCAGCTGCTCACAGATGGACCTCACCTCCAGCTCACACACCTGACAGAGAGACACCATCAGTTCACCCATCATTTATTCCATCCATCCACGTGGTTGTCATGGTAATGAAGCAGCTACCTGGGACAGGTGGTGCAGCTCCGCCTCCTGCTGCCTCAGCGCTTCATCATGCTTCTTCTTCCTCCTCTTCATCAGTTTGTCAATGATCCCGGAGCTGGACCTGTCGATCACTGAGGATCAGAACCGTGATGTCACCACCAGCTAAGACCAACTTAAACTAATCAAACTCCAAAAGTCCTGGTGATAATATTCATTTTCAGTTTTTAACCTAAAACTGTGAACAGAAATGAGTCAAAAATACTGAAAGCTGAAATAATCGATCAGAAATCTGAAACACTGTGTTTGGTTTCTGTTTCTTCCTCACATGCTTTAATCTCTGAGCTGAACAATAACTAGAACATTTCTGAAGAAATTTAAAGGGGCCTGTCAAAGTGTGCCCGTCTGTTGGACCCAGGGCTCTGATGCTAAAAATCAGCATCAATGCTAAAGTAAGCTATACTGTGGTCAATAGCATGTGGAGAGTCACACGCATGTTGACTAACATCCACTCGGTATGCAAAAGTTGTTGTATGAGCTAAAATTCACCAAAATGCTAATGTTAGCCTAAATGTTGTCAGTAGCATGTGGGGCATCACTAGCTTGTTGTCTTACCTTGACTTGCTCCATTCAGTAGGCTAAACAAAGGTAATAAAAAAATAGCTAAAATGCTAATTTTAGGGAAAATGCTAATGCTAATACACTATCCTGCTCAGCAAGGGCTGATGTGCCCTGCTAATGTTAGCTCAAATGCTACTTTTAGTGTGTGTGTGTTCTCACTAGCATTTTGATCTACTAGCATGTTGACGCTACCTTGAGAATGTCTTCTATCACAAGCATGAAGTCTTTGTTCTGAGCCAATATCCCGTTATAGTCATTTGGCAGTTTAATATGTAGAAAGTAGGTAAGTGACGATAAGGCTTTTATTTTGAAATTTTCAGTAAACTTAATTCTAGAAGGCCACAATAACCCCATGTGGCTGCGCTGCATTATTGCAACCCAGAAATCCACTCCGTCTCTCACTGCAGTTATCAACAGTTACTCTCTGATTTTCGTCAGTTGGACATTTTGCTGTTTTTCTGTGATTACGTCGCCATTTTTACTGCAACAATAACCCGGATGCCGAGATGGAGCCGCACGATTAACGATGACGGAAGGTGAAGAAGAGTTCCTCCATGCAGCGCTGTGACAGGAAGCAAACCTGATTTATGTCATTCATAAACATCAAACCATCAGCTGCTGGTACCGACCCAGACGGTCAGGAAGCCGGATGACGTCAACGGAGCCATCGACTTCATCAGACCTCTGCTGCCACCTGCTGGTGGAAGAACAACCCCTGAGTTACACCTGGACACGTTAGTCCTGAGGGGACAGGCAGGACCCCTGAGGGCCTGTGTGTGTGTGTGTGTGTGTGTGTGTGTGTGTGTCCACCTGCTGCTGTCAGGTGTCTTGCTGTCCACCGGGGACAGACTGCCTGTCCTCTGGACCCTGCGTCCTGCCAGCAGGGATCTGGACAGCTGCGCCTGAAACGTGAGAGACAGCGGGTGTCTTCAGCAGCTCAGATGGGACAGAAATGTCCTCCTGGAGCACAACTGAGACATCGGAGGGATCCGAACGGACCGGTTCTGACCCAGACTCGGTTCGACCCACCTGTGCGTCGAACAGCTGCCGGTAAACCTTCCCGCCGGGAATCGCTCGGTTCGCACTCATCCTGCCCCGGGTCTGGAGCCTCCAGCCGGGTCAGGGTTCCCCGGACAGTAGGAGGAAGAAGATCCGGGGGAAAGAGGCTGCTGGGCGGCGTCAAACGGCGCTCAGCGTCGGTGTCGGTTCGTTTGTCTGGTTCTTTAATCTGTTTCTCTGTCCGTCGGTCCGGTTCTGTTTAACGGCTCTTTGTGGTTTACTGTCACTATGGCAACGCGGGACGTTCACGGACCCCTGAGGGAGTCGTTTATTTTGTCTTCAAATATATTTATCGGGTATTTTAAACCTTCAACACCAATCCTGAATAGTTTATGCTCAGCAACAGGCTGTCGCTGTAATATGAAGTACACCCTGGTTTATTGGAAATAAACAGTAAATGACCCACATTTATTGCCGTAAATGTAGCATTTAAAGCTACACTGCAGACTTATGGCTCTGATGGAGGTTTTCCTGTTTGACCAGGAAACATTTCAGAACCAACAAAAGTTCTGGTTTCAGATGTTTTATTGATTTAAGAAAATCAGAACCTGTATTTTTCTTATTTGATCTGATGATCAGCGAGTTGGTTCAGTTCGGTTTAGGAAATATCATTTAATATCAGTCAAGCTGCTTCTTCTCTGGAAAAAATGAAATGAAATCAGAAATCGAGCCGAATTTCATCAATATCAACTCTGGTGATCTGACTTATCACGACATTTAATTTCGTTTTGGGATAAATAAAACATTTTTGAATTTGAGTTAAAATAACAAAGCTTGTACACAAACAAGAGGTCTCACTCTCACTCAATTCAAATTACAGATCGGTCAACTATTTTATTACAGGTAAATGTTTTCTGACGGGAAAATCCTTTATTTTATTTTTATTTTTTTCTGAATGTATAAAATGTGAAGGCGCTGGTTGTCATGAAATGAGCCAGAAAATGTTTCAGGAAAAATCAAACATCTTGTCTCATTGTGCTCAGAAATATTTTGTACTTCAGAACATTAAATATAATCTAAAAGATGAATGTGAGTTTCTGCCTGTTTGCAGAACTCAGCTGTGGAATAATGGCAGAAATTAAATGATGTAATTCATTATTTGTTCTTAAAATGATTATATCACAATAGATGTTCAATACACTACTGAATGTTTAGGACAAAAGTAAAAAAAGTTTATTTTTGTTATTTTATCTTTTTTAACATCACAGATCATTTGTTAAAGGCTGCAGATTTAGAGTTGGACATATTGGCACAATGCTTATAGCTTATTGATCAGTTATTGATTGTTCCTGGACCATCACACACACACACACACAGGTTTGTTTTGTTAGCATTGAGGCATCCACTCTGAATTAATAACTCATATTAATTCAGATTCTTCAGTTGTTTCTCCAGATATTTATTTTCTGTTATGCTGCTCCTTGGTGGTTACCATAGTAACCAGTATCAGCTGTTTTCTTTTCAAGTATTTTATTTTAATATATATTTTAGAAAAAAACAATAGTAATTCTGCTGTGTTTGTTTCTGTCGTCCATGTTAGCTGCTGCCCCCTGCTGGTCGGAGTCTGTGTTTTTTTATTCCGTTTTATCTGAACTGGAGGCAGAAGCTGACAGACGTCAACCACCAACTCGATTTCCTGTTTGTCAGAATAAAAGCAGTCTGAACACAACAGACAGTCAATATGAGCAGTTTAATCTGTAGACGGATTTTAGTCAAAACAAGAGATGAGCATCAATGGAAAATATTTTGATGAAAACTTTACTACCGAGACCAGATAACACGGTTCTGTTTACTGGAGGAACGACTAGAGCTGTACAGCTGGGATTATTTTGTGTAAGAAATAAAAAATGTGATAAATATGATTTATAAATATGTTAAAATATTTGGTCTCCGTCTTTAATTCGAGCTGACAGTGTCCTCTGTCTTCATGTCCTTATAATAAACCTTCACTTCAGAATGACAAGTTTTATTTTCTTAAAGGCTGAAAGTGAAAAAAAAAAATCTTGATTTAGTCCAAAAGTGAAACATTTTCAGATTTTTTAAAATCATAAATTTAAACTCAAATCCTGGACAAAAAGCTGAAAATGTTAAAACCAGAAAATTTTAAATCATTTTTGTTCAATAAGTTTGTCTCGTTTTTCTGTCTCTATCAACCCGACCTGCTGAGGAAACCAGCAGGTGAGCTTAGTGTGGCGTTGCCATGGCGATACCTGAAGCTGATCAGGAGAGAAAATCCACAAACCAGAATTTATTGATTTAAACATCGACAGCAAAACAGAGGGAGAGACATCTGGACCAGAACCGGGTCAGAACCAGAACCGGGTCAGAACCAGAACCAGGTTCTGTTTGCTCCTTTAGCTCTCAGTGAGGAGAAACAGAATAAATATGAAACAAGAGCAGAAAAGATTTACTTATATTTAACAATCCTAATTATTCATTGTTCTAATTTCTCCTCTGATCAAAACATGAAAACTCGTCGCTGCAGTTGACCTCTGACCTTTCAGCTTCATTTTAAAGCAAACTGCAGCTTGGCCTTAATTTGATCAGAAACCGGAAATAAAAGTTCAACAGATTCAGAGTTATGAAAATATTCTGAGTTATGACGAGCCAAACATTTCTGGTGGCTCTGCTTCGCTCGGCGCATCATCATCATCATCATCATCATCATCAGCGCTGGAGCGCAGACAGGAAACGGAAAAACAAGGAGGAGAAGAAGTTCCCATTTCATGCACGACTTTCGTCCTTTTACAAAAAAAGTTTTAAAACTTATTTCCATATCCCTGGGAGCGAAGCTTCGTGAGGCGGTTACCACGGTAACGCCACAGTTTCCGCCTCTGTACCTGCGGTTACCACGGTAACGCCACAGTTTCCGCCTCTGTACCTGCGGTTACCACGGTAACGCCACAGTTTCCGCCTCTGTACCTGGTTTTCCTCCGGAACAGAAACGTCAGAAAAGGGAAAAATCTCTCGACTTCCTGCGAGTCCAAACAAACGAAATGATTCCAGAGGTTTTGGTGCTTTTCTTCTTTTCTCCCTGATTTCTCTCCAGAACCAGAACCAGGTCGGGTTTCATTCCCGACCTCTGGGTGGCGCTGCAGAGCCCAGCCGCCTGAAACCAAACAGGAAGTGGGACGGGATGAGTTCTGACGCGTTCACAGTGTTCAGGAAGGTTCTGGACGAGCCGTCCAACGGCCGACATCATGGCTTCTGCTGACTGATGAGGTGGGGGTCAAGGGTCACGGGTCAGAACCAGGGTTTGGAGGTTGGGATCACATGGACCTGCAGGGTGGTCGTCCACCAGCAGGGGGCGCCGTCAGGCAGATTTATTGCTGTTAAGGTTTAGCTTTAGGTCTGGAGATAAATGGGGTTGTTGGTTTCTGAAGAGAAACTGATTGGCCGTTTGGGCTCCATGGCGACGCAGCTGAAGCGATTAGCGAACCCAGAACCGCCATTACTAAAATTCCTCAGGGTAAATGATCTGCCTGGACGTTTCGTTAGTTAGCTCAGCGCTCTCACTGAAGATGAAAACAGAACCTAAAAACTGAGCTGTGGTCTTTGCTGGTTTATTACTAAATTAAGTACAATTTCATATTTTTGTATAATTTTGTCCAGGTTAATTTAAAAATTGAGCTATTATTGTTACAGTTTAATTCTCTAAACTTCAGTAAAGTAACAGTCAGGATGCGCAGATATGAAAAACTGGGCCGATATTCAATATTAATATCAAATTATCACATTTTTATTGGATTAATGGTCAGAATAATCGATAGAATACTGGATCACTAAAACAATCGCCAGCCGTAACGCAGAGTGATGTCACAAAGCCCAGGGCGGCCATCTTGTTTGACCAGTGTGTTGATTTGGGCCGTGAGCCCGGGTCAACGCGACCAGAATATCAGATATTGATTATTGGGTTTTCATTGGTTCCCATGTGATCCCAGCAGAGAGGAGACCGGTTCTGATCCGACAGGAAGCGGGCCTGAGGCAGGTCATACAGGGTCAGAGGTCACGTGGAAGGCCAGCGTGACGCTGTGTTGGGGTCAGAGGTCACCGGCGCTGCGGGCTGAAGACGGGGAAGGCCAGCGTGACGTTGAGCGAGTCGTTGTGCTGGACCAGCGATGTGTGCTGGTAGTGCAGAACCAGCTCCTTCAGCGACCCGTACAGGTTGTACGGCTCGGCGAACCCGAAGCCGGTGCCGGTCTTGTTGATGACGCAGTGCTTGACCTCGCCGTCCACCCTGAGGGGAGAGAGAGAGAGGTGAGGGAGGGAGCCTGAAGCCCACAGGTGGGTGAGCAGGTGGGGGCGGGGCTTACACCACGGAGCAGGCGTAGCAGCCCGGCTTGCTGCTGTCCCGGACCAGGAAGGTTCCGTCCCGCTTGCCGCGCAGCAGGCCCTCGGCCTGCAGCCGGTTCATGTTCCCCAGACGCCACAGCCGCTCGTCGTGGTGAGGAAGGTCCTCCTCATCCTCCACCGTGCTGTACTCACTGCGGACAGCGGCAGGACGGGTCGTCATGGAAACGCCATAAACAGCATCTCAGTGTCCAGTTCATCATCCTCCAGTCTCATCAAAACATTTTTCTGACAGTAATATTTCTGTTGCTACGGGCAACAGCCGATCTGGCTAACAAATGCTCAGCTTCTGAACTCCTAGAGGAACTCCCAGAGGCTAAGGCTGAGGCTAAAGCTAAGGTTAAGGCTAAGGCTGAGGTTAAAGCTAAGGCTGAAGCTGAGGCTAAAGCTAAGGCTGAGGCTAAGGCTGAAGCTAAAGTTGAGGTTGAGGCTAATGCTAAGGCTGAGGCCAAACCTTGTAGTTAATGTCCTACCAGCTCATTTATCTGTGTTTAAACCCAAATGTTTGGTGTCTTTGTTAGTTAACATCTGTTTTTCTAACTCTTGCTGGTTCTTCTTCTCTGGCCTAAAAAGAGTCAGAGTGTCCCTAATGGTCGGGTCGGGTCAGAACTCACTCCTCGGTGGTCTCGTTCTTCATTTCCAGCCACTCGTTCAGCTTCCTCTGCCGGACTCCTTTCTGGGTCAGCCACCTGCAACAAACACACGGCTGTTAGAGCCGACTTCCTGCTGGCCGCCGCGCTTCCTGTCTGGGGGCGGGGCTTACATCAGGTACTGGTCCCGGGTCTTGCGGAGCTGGATCAGGTCCGGTTTGATGCTGTTCATCTTCTTGTCGATCTCCCGGTTGTCGGCCGCCTGCTTCTTCAGGTCCACCTCCAGGTGGCGCTTGCTGTCCACGATTTCACTGATCCGAGACTTCAGCTTGTCGTAGTTCTCCATGATCCTTCAGGGAGAATTTGTGAACTTATATTAACCATTATCAAAGCTTGAAACGAATTTAAATATCATGAAACTGTATTTTATTTTGAAAAACCAACACAGGAAGGTGGTTCCTTCCTGTCCAGCCGAGGAGGATGCTGATCAGCATCATACTGGGCTGTATCGGCTGTTTACGTGCTTTTATTTTGGTACAATAAGTTTCATGTTCGAGATGTAGCACTAACTTCACTCTGGCGTTGGGATAAAATGCTTTGGAGACGAAAACGTCCGCCGTAAAGAGACCAGTGGACAACCACGGCAGGACGACGTATAAGAGACGATGGACACCGATATGATCGCAGGAATATTTTACAGGTTTAGAACCGAATCGTTCAAACTGAATTCATCAGCTCTTCCAGCTGATTCTGTAGCCATGGCAACCCAGCCTCCAGTGCATGTGTGTGCTGCAGGTGGTTGCCGTGGTAACTGCCCACCTCTGGATCTCCTTGTCGTTGCCCTCGCGGCGGAACTTGTCGATGTACTCCTTGCTGAAGCGCTCCTGCGTCTGGCACTGCTCCTCGAAGATCTTGATGGTCTCGTTGAAGGCCTCGATGGCGGTGCGCTTCATCTGGATCTCCTGGGGGGGCAGAGGGGTCAGACACTGCGCTCAGCGGCGGCTGCGCGGCGTCCCGCCGGCCGTACCTGCGACGTTCTGGTGTACTCCTCGTACAGCCGGTCGTACTCGCGGTTCTTCTCCTGGTACTGCAGGTGGTACTCGTGCAGCTTCTTGCCCACGGCCTCCACGCTGTCCTCCTTCACCACCTGGTCCTGAGGGGCGACACGACCGGCCAATCAGAGGGGCCGCGGCGCCGCGGGCCGCAGGGCGGCCGGGGACACCTACCTGCTGGTGCTTGGACACCGGGTAGAGCAGCTTGACGTCCAGCTTGGGGTTGTACTGGGCCAGAGACTCGTGGCGGTAGTGGTTGATGAGCTCCACCACCGAGCTGAAGGTCAGCGGGTCAGAGAAGCCGTACTTCCCCTCCCGATGGAAGATCTTGATCAGCTTGTTGTTGCCTCCCTTCCTGCAGGCAGAACCAGAATGTTTACCGTCCCAGCAGCAGGGGGCGCCACCGAGAACGTTTCAGCAACAGACAGTTCAAAGAGTCATAAATACACAAAAAGCACTGAAACATTTCATCAGCATGATGATCGATGTTTCACTTATTACGTTTCAAATCATTTAGTCTGGACCGAGATCAGCTCAGAAAAACTCCAGAATCTAAACCACAACCAGGATTCATG